GTTTAAACGCCAAATCAACGGAAGAGAGAGAGGATACTTACCTGTTGCTGATGTCGATACTGCGCTCTGCTGAACGTCTTCATGGGAGAAACAGTGCCACGTGGCACTCTAGTGTGATCAGGCCCTGTCAGGCTCGTTATTGGATACTATTTGCTGACGAGGAGGCGAGGGGAAGCCCGGAGAAGGAGAGGGAATTGTTGGGCTACTATTTTTGTGGTCATTGATGGATACTTACATTTCCAGCCTCTTAACTCTCTATTACCCCCTCTCCTCTCTTCGTCCATTGGTTATGGGACATGGTCTCAGAGATCATATTCACGGTTATTGGAGACATTATTCAGCCCTTCGTGGACAAGATCCAAGCCATCGTGGATTGGTCGGAACCCCGTTGCAATACGAACGTACGTTCTTCCATAGGTTTGGGTGCCAGTGGATACTATCAGCGCTTCGTCGATTCGTACTCCAAAGTGGCAGCCCCTTTGTCGAGACTTTAGTCCCTTAAGGTACATTACGAGTTCGACGACGCAACCCGTGGCACGTACAATACGTTGAAGGCGGTGATGCAAGCCACGCCGGACCTCCGTATTTATGACCCTACACTACCCACCCAGGTGACTATGGACGCTTCCAGATACGGTATTGGTGCGGTGTTGGAACAATGCCATCATGATGGATGGAACCCGGTCGAGTACTTCTCCCAAAAGGTGCCTCCGTCAACTCTCTCGATGACGCTAGGACGAAAGAGCTACTCCGACCTACTCGCGCTCGTCACCGTTCTCAAACGACAGCGCGACTTTCTTCTCCATCGTCGGCGTTTTAGATGGAACATGGACAATAATCCATTGACCTTCTACAAAACGCAGGACATCGTCACAAGCACGATCGGTCGATCGATGTATTGCAGCAACCAGTTTGACTTTTATCCATGCCACATTCCCAGTCCCGCCAACCGAGCAGTGGACGCCCTCTCACGACGGCCAGGCCCTGATCTTTGCGCCCTAGTGACTACGACGTTCAAAATCGATGACGACTTGCAACAACACTTTGTCAACGACTACAAGTCCGACCCGACGTACTCCACGTTATACGCGGGGCTCTCATCGGATCACTCGTCGGCTGGTCACTATCGTATCTCCGACAGGTTCCTACTCGGAGTCCTCTATACGAGAGGAAATGACTTTTTAGTGGTGCCCCAAGATCGCATCTTACGGACTCGCCTTCTTGGCGAATTCCACGACGCACGACGTTCGACACACATTGGCGTAACCCTCACATTGGCCCGCCTCCGCCAGCGTTTTCACTGGTCCGACGTTCTCCACGAGGCCACGAGGTAGATTGAGTCATGCGCAATTTTCCATCGTAACAAAGCTAGATTTCATGTCCCTTATGGCGAACTGAAACCGTTGCCGATTCCTCGGGCAACTCGCCTCTCCATTGCTATGGATGTGACAGGTTCGTTCCCCCGCGATTGCCTTGGTCATGACGGCACCCTCACGGTCGTTGACCGTTTGAGCAAGTACGCGTGTTTTCTTCCATGCAAGTATCGTGCTACATCCCCCGAGCTCGCACGACTTTTGCACACCGGCTGCGGCGGCTGGATTACTTGCCACGGTGTTCCGGAAGACATTGTGAGCGACAGAAACACTCGTTGCATGTCAGCCTTATGGACTTCCCTCATGGCGGAGTCCGGTTCGACTATGAAGTCGAGTTCCGCATGGCACCCGCAAACGGATGGGCAGTTGGAACGAGCGCATCAGACCACTCAAGTGATGTTCCGTACACTCATCCATCCCGACCAGAAAGATTGGGTTGACCGGCCTCCCGACATTTAGTTCGCCTATAACACTTCGGTGCACCCAATGATCTGCATCACTCCATTCGAGTTGCATCACAATGGAGAGAAAGCCCGAGTCTTTGTCGATCTTCTTCTACCACCGGCCGCCGACATCTACGTCGCTTGCTCTCCCACTTCTGCTCGGAAGTATCGGGACTTGCTAATCAAAGCCCAAGCGAATATGTAAAACGCTCAAATCCGCTTGGAGTAGCAAGCTAACCGTCGTCGACGACCTTATCCTTTCTGCGAGGGAGACCTTGTTTGGGTCCTCGCTGAGGAATTCGTGCTGGAGCAGGACGTCTCGTGCAAACTCCTCCCGAAATGGTTTGAACCATGGAAGGTAATTTCTGCAGCAGACGACGACCCTGCTCGCCCTTCCTTTGTGATTGTCATCCCACCGCACCTCCGCATGCACCCGGTTTTCCATGCGTTGAAGCTGGCCATGTGTATGCCACCTTTCGAGGAGGAGTTTCTGGGCCAACAATCACAGGATCTACCCTCTATGGACGGACATCAGGAAGTTGACCGTGTCATCATGCATCGCAAGTTTGGCAACAATCCAATGCAATACCAAGTCACATTCAAGCAATGTGCCCCTGATGACAATCGCTGGATCTCTTGCGCCGACTTACACTGTCAGGCATCCGCACCACTCATCTTCTCCGACTATGAGAACCGGACA